CAATGAGAAAAGGCCGTGTCCAAGTGATGCCGCCCATACGACCACCTCAAAATTTGGCATGATTATTCCTACAATACTGATAACATAGTTCCTAGACTCTCTCAAGCTTTTGATGAGGGGGGGGGACACTTACTCAACACCAGCATTCGTTGCGCATTCACATAAATCAGCTGCGTGGTTCTTCCAACTTGAGTTACCAATGCACGTCCTCAGCGAACGACGTAGGTTCTTTTCAGTAATGATAGGTTGGCATCTGAAAAAAAAACAAAAATTAGAAGGGGCAATGTGGTAAGAGTCGCGAATATCGCCTAGCAAACGAGATTTGAAAAGTTATTCGGGGGGGGGCGTACAAAGGATTCGCACATGGCTGCTCATTCAGAAAACAACTGCGTTCGATTTTTCTCTGGAGTAAAAGTTGATTCGAATACCGAAATATGCAGTGCTCAGATGCATTTAGTCTGTTGATGAGTTCTTTGGTTAGCTGCTTTGACATACTATTTGGTCCTAGAGAGGTGCACTCGAATACCTGAGATGCGGTAGGCGTGGCTGCGTACCTCAACTACCCGTGGAGGTGAGTGTGCATTTGGTGGAATATTTTCCATTTTGTCATGTCTTTGTCCGACACGGAACAAGACGACAATTGTCTTAAGTTGAAATATCTCAACCCATCCTAGGTCACGTCGAAATGGCGCCTACTCCTCAGGGCTAAGCAGTGCACCTAGCCGTGAACGCATAACGCAGAAACAATACAGCACCGACGAACTGGTATGAGTACATAAACGTTCAACACACTTCTTTCAGTGCAGGTGAAGGTGTTGCATTCCAATGAAAGTTGACTCCCCCAGGGATCGAACACCTGTGGGAAATGGCACACACACGTTCATCGGCGAAATGACACGGGCAAGTAAAAAGTTCCCATCGCTGACCAAACCTCTTTTGGAGTTTAAGGCGCACTATTCTTCCACACACAGTTGTTGGGATATGGCCGTTACAATGACTGAGCCAACTGATGCTTCAGACAGCGTTCAATCCTTCGTTTCCAATGCAATTACAGCGATCTGAGATAGAAGAAAGCCGGGGAGAAGGCATGGTATGGAGCCGATCAGAGGGAACCCCCTTCAGGGTACAGCATCGTGATGTGTGAAGTGATGGTGTAGGTACGATCCCCCTCCCTCCGAGAGAGCGTGTCAGTACGACTCCCCACCTGAATGAAGGTTTCAGTGCTCCTTCGCCCCGCTTCCCCAACACCTACCTGCCACTTTCCTACGTGTAACGGGGAAATTTCTTAGATTTTCCCCCACTTCCTACCACTCACCTCGAAATTCCCTACTTTTTCCAGAAAATATTGCTGTCGAGCGGGGGGGGGGGATGGATATACATGAGACAGCAAAGAAATCACGCAAAAAGTCAACAGCTGGGGAAACTTTCTTCCCAACGCAACAAATTTCTCCCAAACGCACATGCGACCTCCCCCCAGCGGAAAAGTAGGACCCGCCTCCATGCGTTTCACACAACGGTGCTGTACCCTGAGCGATAAAGGTCTCCTCCTTCGCACTGCCCCACATCTTGTCGCACGGAAGCGCCTTGATAATAGCTGGGAAGAAAACAGTGGTGGTGAAGACAGAGTGCAGTGATAGTGGGTATTGTGCACGAACAACAAGACTTGTTTCTTTTCCAGAAAAGCACGGAACTAAAAGTTTCAGCAACGCTAGAACACCAATGTTCGGCTGTACTTGCCTGTACAACAAATTCAACAGTTATAGCGCTTTTGAACAAGAAGAAAACATGAGCAT